TCCTTTACTTGTTTAAACTTAATGGTTATGAATTTGAAGACAGAGGGTCTTCATTAAAAGGAAAGTGCACAAATAGTTATGAAGGGTTATTTAACAAGTTATTGGGTTTATTAATTTGAGAAAGTAGATTTTTTTCCCTCAATTTAAAAAAAATTCAAAACTACAGAAAAAGTATAAGAATATTATCATGAGCTCCCCCCAATCCTTAAGTTAACTTAACAATTATTGACTGAGACATTAGACAGTCAGTTTCACACATCAAGATACTTTAGCCCTATAACATCAGTATTCATTTCCTAAAGCATTCTCAGGACCATTATCACACCTAAGAAAATTACCATCAATTAATAATATCACATATATGTTATCCATATTGAAATTTTTCCTTTTGTCCCCAAACATTACCATGACTTTTTTCCAACTTAGTGATGTTGGATGGCATGGGGTGTAGTTACTCCATAGGTTTTCACATTCATTGCAGAAAAGAATTTCAGAGAAAGACCAAAGTTAGTTCGAAAGACAGTTTATAGAGAGAAAAGCATGTTCAAGATAGAACACAGGTGCCTTAAGAGAAAGGACATGTGTTTGCCTTTAACAAGAAGATGTATATAATGTTCACAATGATGATTAAGCAAACTATTACATAAGCTAAGAGCGGAGGGCTGCAGGTATCTGACCATGAGTTTTGATTACTATCTCTCAACTTTTTAAGGTCACAGGGACTTTCTAAATAATGAAAGTTACTGCCTAACTAGATTTGGGTTTTCCTTAGAACATCATGTCTGTTTTGGGTAATTCCCTATAGTTTCTGTGATTTACTGCACTGATAATTCCACATTCCAACCCACAAGACGTCTGAATGCTTACTTTATTTATCAGTTACTTGAATTATACCTACTCGAGAAAACTTGCCTGTTTCTAAACAATGTACCATGCTAACTATGCCTGCCTTAACTAAGATCTAATTGAGGTTCACACATTGCATTTGATTTTTAAGTATCTCTTATCTCTTTAAATCTTAGACTGTGTGAATATTTTATTCCCTAATAACCTTTCATCTAGAAGTTTTAGCATCTATTACTGATCTTTGCCTGAACCAGATATTACATTGGCCTTGCAAAACTGGTAGTTTAAAAATTCTATCATTTCATCTGTATTTAGTAACTGGCACAAATATATTTTTCTCATTTTCTTTCTATGAGCACTCATGGACATTTAGTTGTGGTGGGAGTGTTATGTATTACTATCATTATTTTTTTGGTGACCAAATTGTCCCACATTTGTTGGTGGGACTTCCTTCAAGTTAGCTCATTTGTGTGTGTGTGTGTGTGTGTGTGTGTGTGTGTGTGTGTGTGTGTTTTACATATGTTCTAGGCTTATCTTGATCTTTCCCTGCTCTAGACATGAAACCAGTCACTTCGCCAAGGTGCTCTGGTTCCTTCCAATAGAAAATGATGTCTAGAAACCAAGATTTGGATGATAGAGATGTCTCATAATAAGGGGTAGATCCAGATTTGTAGGGCTTGAAGCTAATACAACTTTGAGATCATTATTAAAAGAGTGCAAAATTACAAATATAAATTTAGGTATATGGCATTAGAAGAGGTCCCTAAGTGGGGAACTGTGAATTTTAAGTTTTATTAGTTTCATTATTATTGGAATTATTGTTTTGTTTTGTTTTTGAATTTGGAGTCTCATTCTGTCACCCAGGCTGGAGTACAGTGATATGCTCACCGCCGCTGCAGCCTTGACCTGCTGGACTCAGGAGATCCTTCCACCTCAGCCTTCCAAGTAGCTGAACTACAGGCATGTGCCACCACACCTGCTAATTTTTTGATTTATCATAGAGACAAGGTCTTACCAAGTTGCCCAGGTGGGTCTCAAACTCCTGGGCTCAGGCAATCCTCTTGCCTTGGCCTCCCAATGTACTGGAATTACAGTTGTGAGTCACCTCGCCTGGCCTGATTTAACTTTATTTTTTAAAAATACAAAACACTTATGATTAAAGATCAAAAAGATATACTGAGAAGTTTCACTCTCTATCTCTCCACTCCCATTCACACTCATCCTTTATAAGAAACCATTTTTGTTAATTTGTGGTTTATCTTCCACAACATTTTGGGCAAAACTGAAAATATGTATACAAATTCTTATTTATCTCTTTTTTACTTAAATAAAATGTAGCATATTATATACACTCTTTCACACCTTTGCTTTTTTTCTTTTTCCATGGAGATCTTCATTTTTTTTGTAGCTAAATATTTGTCAGTTCATTGTATGGATGACCTACAGATAATCTAATTAGTCTCCTATGAATTTGACTGTCTTCAACATTTAGGTTGCTGTTTTAAAAAATTGTATAGGCTGCATTATGAATTTAAACCAGAGGGAAAGGGGTACCCAAACAATAAAAGTAACAATCTGGGAAGCTTTTGAAGTCCACCAACCAGAACTTCTTTAACAATTTTGGTTCATTTATTCATTCATTCATCCATTTATTCAACAACTATTTTTGTGTATCAGGAACTGATATCTGCTTAGAGCATTATTAACTTGAGACAAGGACACTGGGAAAAAGCGGTTGATGGAATTTTGAGTTCCCACAGCCTTTTCTCTACATACATACTATGCATAAATATGTCCCTAAATACCTGAAGTCCATGTCTGTAGACTTAGAGTAGAATTAGCAAAGTAACTCAGGCTTAACTTTTTGAGACAATATTCTTAAATACACACATAATAAAGACATACACACATATAAAAATATACACCATAGTGAGTATGTATAATAATATATATTTTTCTGTGATGAAAGGGAATGTAAATCATACTTTATTCTTAAAAGTTTGCTTTCTGAGCTGGGCGTGGTGGTTCATGCCTGTAATTCCAGCACTTTGGGAGGCCGAGGCGAGAGAATTGCCTGAGCTCAGGAGTTTGAGAGCCATCTGGGTAACTTAGCGAGATCTCGTCTCTACAATGCATCAAAAAATTAGTTGGGCATGGTGGCACACACCTGTGTTTCCAGCTACTTAGAAGGCTAAGGCGGAAGGATCACCTGAGCCCAGCAGGCTGAGGCTGCAGTGGCAGTGATCATGCCACTGTATTCCAGCCTGGGCAACAGAGTGAGACTCCAACTCAAAAAAAAAGTTTGGCTTCTGTTACATTCTTAACATAAATGAACTCCTATCATTTCTTGTATATCTCTTGTATCAGAAAATATAGATGGGAGAAAACCAAGGCCTTCCCCTAGATTCATGAGGAACACAAAGTTTATTGTACTTAATGCTGTTGTACTTTCTCCTGTTGCTTTCTGGCCTCACTAAGAACTGCATCAACAGAAGGAGGTACAGGCTGCAGTATGAGATATTCAAGTCAGGTCTAAAGAAGAATAGTTCAATGGATTCTTATTTAGTGGTGCCCAAACAATGCAGTGATTATGAAGAGTCCCTCCAGAAATTTGTGATTACATATGCAGCAGCTGTGTGGATGTCAAGAGCAAAAAGCAGACAATTTTTAAACAGTCACTCTTACCATCTTTTAGAAAGGCTCATGCTCACTAAGAAGCTCTTCACATTAGTTTGTCCATAAATATCACTGCACAGTTCCATCTGAACTTTCACATTGACCTCAACTCAAACCCTCAGTCAATTAAGTCAACTAGAACAGTAATTATAACCCTGGTTGTTATTGTTATTGTTCTTCCTCTTCGGGATAAAGGTTTTTTTCTTAAAGTTTATTTTCTTTCTTTTGGAGTTGGAGTCTCACTCTGTCACCTAGGCTGGAGAACAGTGTCACCATCCAGGCTTTCTGGGCTCAGGAGATTCTTCCACCTCAGCCTCCAGAGTAGCTGGGACTACAGGCGTGTGCCACCAGCTCCGGCAAATTTTAATTTTTTTTTTTTAGAGAGAAAGTCTTGCTACGCGCTATGTTACCCAGGCTGGTCTTGAACTGCTTGGTTAAAGCAATCCTCCTGTCTTGGCCTCCTTAAGAGCCGGAATCACAGGTGTGAGACACTGTGCCCAGTCTTTTTTTTTTTTTGAGATAAGATCTCACTATGTTGCCCAGGTTGGTCTTGAACTCCTGCACTCAAGCAATCCTTCTGCCTCAACCTCCCAAAGTGCTGGGATTACAGGAGTGAGCCACAACGCCCTGCCAGTGCTTTTTATTTTTCACTTGGAACCCAGAACACCTACTACTTCAGGCCCGAAACTCAAGGCTGTTGCCTTCAGTTCTATGCATCAAGCCAGCAAAAGATCCAGGATCATCAAGGAAAAGATGGCCTAAAACATCCAGGAAAATATTTCCCCAAAAGCCTTCCTTCTTGCGAGGTCAGGAAGGGTGCAGAATTTTGGGACCAAGTATCACGTTTGGTTTCCTCACTCCCCAAACCACAGACCTGTGGGGTGAGAGAAAGAGGGGCAGGGAAAGGATGAATGGGCCATGGTACCGGCCCAGTGTGGAGATGTAGTTCCTCTCTAAGAGTCACTTCCCACCCCTATGAGCAGTGTAACCTGGGGTGGGTTACTTAGCGTCTCCTACACCTAGTCACTAATTAGGGGTCACTTGTCTTCCTCGCGGGAACGTCGCAAAGCTCCAATTTTTTAAAATGTGGGTAAACGTCTTAGCTAAGCCCGTAGCCCAGTAAGCCCTTGATAAACAGTAGTTATTTTTAAATGGTGATTATTGCCATTGTCATTATTGTTTGGTATTTGTCATCACCACCGCCACTACCCTCCCGTCCGCTTTACGTCTCCACCGGAATCCCCGCCTTCCAGCCTGGCAGCTCTCGGCCCCGGTGACTCATTTATTTCCCGGACAGCCTTCTAGGCCACACTTTCCTCTCTCGAGTAGCTACTTCTCAGAAGGCAGGAAATCCCTTTTGGAAACCCCTCCGCTCTTTAACCCAACCTCCCGTTCCCGAGTCCAAATTAAAACTCCGGGACTCGCGCCCCAGAACAGAGCCCGGCTCCGCGGGCTTCACGGTCACCCTTGCACGCGCGCGGGCGCCCTCCCCGCCCGCCACTGCCCCCTGGAGGACGAGGGCAGGCGCGCCCTGGGCCTGGGGTTCAAGGGCTCCCACTGCTGGGCAGCACCCCGCGGTCCCCGCCCTGAGCCGGCTGCCGCCCGCGCGCCCGCCCCGCTCCCTCCCTTCTTTCTGTCCCGCCACATCTTCCTCTGCCTTCCACCCGGGGACCATGTCGAGGCTCAGCTGGGGGTACGGCGAGCACAACGGTGAGCGCCTTCCTGCTCGGAGGGGGGCTGTGCGCAGGGGCGGTCGCGGGGGGTGGGCGGGGGGTGATGGAAGGGCGGACCTGGCCGGATCCCTGGCACCCGAGGGTCGCACGCTGCTGATCTCTGACTTGCCAGAAACTTTTCGGTTCCTTTTTGAACGGAGCAGCGCTCCCTGAAGCCCGATGCAGGAAGCGGAGGGCAGGCTTGGTCATGTGGAGACCGGGAAAGCGTCTTCTGCGGGGTGTTAGTCGTGTTGGTTTGTGAGTATTGGTTTGTGTTCGCTCTATCAGGATTTCCCAGACTCCCAGATCTTCATATATGTTCTTTTACCTTTATTTGAAAAGCCAAGGGCTTTACTTCGTAACAACCACTTGTCAGTTTAAAGCTTGGAGATTAGCAGTCTGATGACATACTTCAAGAAATAAGGGCAGATTCCTTTGGTCAAAGCTCATTTTTCACGTAGGAGAAACAAATCGTGGAAAAATCTCTGAAAATATATGCAAGAAATCTTAATATCCGTTGTGACACTGAAGGCTAAGTTGCCTCCTTGGCAAACAAATACTGCAAGTTTCTTAATAGCTGTTACTGTAAAATATGCCCACAGCAGTTTGTGGTTGGTTGACTGCTACTGTTGACTTTAGCAAGGCTTTTTCTTCTTTGGTAGTGAAGTTACGTTTTGGGTTACGTTTCCACTCTTTTCTGCCTCTCTTTTCACCTGTAGAGGCTGAGGATTAGTAAAGGATTACTGAATTTATAAGACACAGATAAAAATTTACTGATTGGAGAGATACAATAATAAGACGTATATTTGTCTTCGTATATATCCTAAGTTATCAAAAGTATACCATTTATCTTGTTTTTACGTTAAACTGAGCTGATTGCTTCGAATACTGAGTATTTAAAATAATTGCAGAGTGGTACCAAGAAAGCCTTATAGTGAATGACTGCCAAAATTAGGGTGTGCTAGCTTGATTTAGCTATTCCTCAATGTACACATTTCAAAACCCCATGTTGTACCACAAATGCATAGAATTTTTGTTAACTTAAAATGTAAATTAATAAGAAGAAGAAAAATTCAAGGCTGTGACTAACACTTTCCTTCTATGAGGATGCAAATTATTGAACAGTACTGTGTACTCAAAATTTATAAAATATTTACTTTCATAAACTAATAGGAAAGAAAAATTTCATTTCTTTTTTGAGAAACAGAGTCTCCTGCCACCTAGGCTGTAATGCAGTGGCACGATGATAGCTCACTATAGCCTGAAACTTCTGGCCTCAAGGGATCTTCCCACCTTAGCCTCCTGAGTAGCTGGAACTACAGGTGCCTGCCACTATACCCTACTGATTTTTTTTTTTGGTAGACATGAGGGTCTTGCTATATTGCCCAGGCTGGTCTCGAACTCTTAGCCTCAAGCAATCTCTTTTCTGCCTTGGCCTCCCAAAGAGCTGGGGTTGTAGGCATGAGCTGTTGCCTCCAGCCAAGTTCCCTTTCTAATTGTAGCCTGTTCAAAGTTATTAACATGCTACTTTAAAAAGGCATCAGATGAAATTTAAAACTTTAATAATGAAATCTGTAATGTAGGCAGATTTCATTTTGATTGAGGCCATAATTATACTCTTACATTTTGCTAATTTCCGAGTTACGTTTAGAGAGAAAAAAACCCAAGAAATAAATTTCATTTCCATTTCTGCTGAAATCATTCTTATTTATAAGTCCCCTCACAGTAGCTGGGGAAAAGGGTATTTCAATCAGTTGGTTTTGATTACTTTGTACTAGATTAGAAATTATTGGCTCCAATGATACTCATAATTAAAAAAATACTTCCTAAAAAATCATTAACAAGGAATGATTGTGTGTTTCTGTTAGGAATTGCAGAGCAGTACCCTTCTTTAGATTGCAGTCACTCTCTGAGCACCACACCTTTAAGCAAATCAACTTGGACAAAATTCTCTTGGAAATGTGTTGTAAACTGACCAGGAAACTTTTGTTGCTTTTTTTTTTTTTTTTTTTCCTGCTTGGACCTTGGCAAAACCCATGACTTAACAGATAAAAGGAAACCTCAACTGGAAATAACAGCACAGATAAAATGGAACCTCAAGAGGTGAAGCCCTGAAAGGAACATCACTTTCACAAACAACTTATAATGCCTCCTACAACCTTTGATCATTTTTACTGGTTTAGCTTAAGGAATATGACATCACTGAAAAATGTGTATCACTGTGGATACTTAAAAGTTCCTGAATCAATTGAAGAGCCACCATGTGACTCTACTTAAGAATTATATCACACATTACTAAGTTGCATGCTTTCATGACATCAATGCAATTTAATATGTGTGATATCTTAAAGAAAAATGAAATAAAAAGAACTATGTTTAAAAAGACTTAAAGTTGGATGCTTTGTAAATTTTTTTAGAGGGCTTTTTTAAGAGATGGGGAAATGAAATGTCTGTAGTGTTTAATTAATAATATTGGATATTTGATAACAAGTATTATTATTTTTATTTTATTATGGTTTGGCTCTTCAAAATAATTCTAATTATAAAGGACTGGAAGTAGGAGAGTGATGGAATTAGGAAGAGAAAGAAGCTCTTTCCTGATTGGAACAATGTCAACAACATGTTGTGACACATATTGCATATTTGAAATCTAATTCTTTTTTAGATTAACTCTTACTTGGTGGCAGTGAAGTAGAAGACTTTTTCCACATTAAAAAAGGTCTGTGTTGTAGACAGAAAGAGTACTAAGAAAGGTAGAGTAAGTGAAAGTATTTCATAAATAAGGCCTTTTGTATAATACTTTTTAAGTAAGAACTTGATGCTCAGGTTGCTTTGAAGTCAAAGTGTTAGATTGTCTAGAGGAAGACTATTAAGTTGAGTGTGTGGTTACATAGATATTTGATGACCTTTTGTACTGCAAAGATATGTGAAAGAAAGAAGGTATGTATGTATTCTCCTTTGCAAAAATGAGGAGTAATAAGAAGCATTAGATTTAGACATTGACGTTGTTATGATATGGTGCGTTACTTTAAATCTCACTCCAAAGTTTATCATATAGAAATGTTTGTTGTTGTTAGGAATACACGTTAAATTAATGTCATACTGTGTTGTTGTTGCTGTTGCTGTTTTGTTGTTGTTTTGTTTTTTAGAGAAAAAGTGGTTATCAAGGTAGGGAAAAGCTTAGTCAGTAGCCTAGTGCCCTACTCACTTGATGTTAGCTGTATACATTTCAGGCATAGCAGAGAGAAGAAAATAAGAACCCCTAACCTATGCAATGACTCACATCTGTAGAATGACTTGGAGCTTACGTGAAGCTGCAACCTCGTTGTTGATTTTGAGAGGCAAAACTTCAAATAAAATCTTCCAGAGAAATGAGAAAGATAGACACGGGAACTGTCAGTTGATTGGCTCATGTCAATTTACCTGATGTGTTTGATTTGTGAACTTGGTGCAATTTTGATTTTTGAATAGAGGGCCAGGATGACAAATGTCTATTTTGTTGGAATTCAAGTATAATATTGGCAAAATAACCACAGAAGTGTTCCTCTGAAGTGTAGAAATAGAGAAATAAATTACAACGTGACTCTACTGTGATCAGTAACAATATTGCATTTCCTGACATGTTGCAGCCATTTTGTTTGGGTTAGCCTATGTGAAAAATTTATATATTTCCTTGATATGCGTGTTGTGCATCACAGGTAATTGAGCTGAGTCCTGGGCGACACCAGAAAATACCGGTGAGTGATAGAAGAAAGAATAAAGAAATAGGCACAACATCTTGAAGAATGACCCCCTTTCTTTGCTACACAGCTTTCTCAGATTCTTTGATTCTCCCAGCCTCACAAACTTGACCTCTGGAGCAACCACAGCTCATTCTTGGAGTTGAGACTGAATCTCATTGTTTTCAGTGGTGAATTGTGTTATTGTTTTTAGTTTGGTAGAAGGGTACCTTTGGAGAGTACTTTACAAAGTTTACATGCTCTTTTGTCTATAAGGATTAATTTAATTCTGAAACTGACTTGAGACAAACCAGGAGTTTCCAGATATGACACGTTACGATCAGTAGCGTGTGCAGTTTTCCTTAAATGAAGGTCTTATTCCTATCTGGATCACAATGAAATTACCAATGAAATTGTATTTGCCTATAATAAAACTAGTTTTGTAAAAAAAAAATTTTTTTGATATCAAAGTCCTGAAGATGAGAATCTCAGTTTATTAACATTTATTTTTTATTCAGTCTCAAGCACAGTACATGATACTCAATGAATGTTTGTTGAATGAAAGAAGTTATTTAGTCCATTTCTATTGGTCCTATATATTTAAGGTCCTGTTCATTGGAATGAATTTTTCCCCATTGCTGATGGGGATCAGCAATCTCCGATTGAAATTAAAACCAAAGAAGTGAAGTATGACTCTTCTCTCCGACCTCTTATTATCAAGTATGACCCAAGCTCAGCTAAAATCATTAGCAATAGTGGCCATTCATTCAACGTTGACTTTGATGACACAGAGGACAAATCAGGTTGGCTTTTTCTTACTTTTTTGGTTGTGGGGGTTTGGATGAATAGACTACACTCTCTTATCTTTCATATTGAATTTTTGCTAGACCTAGAATTTGCCAAACTAAAGAATATATTTTTGTCATGTGAATTAAGATATCCTGTTATATATGTGGACCTTCAGATGATGTTATCTTAAAATAATACAAAGGAAAATTTAAAAGAGTATGTTGCATGATGATTTAAAATTGACCACAACTTGTTATTATAACTTCACTTACCATATATTATTATAATAATATTAAAATTTAATAGTATTTTATAAATCAAGATTTGTTTCTGCAAAGTTTTGCTCATGATTGCTTTAACATTACCTGAAAACATAATAATGCTATTTAGCACATGGTTTAAGAGGAAAAGATTAGTTTTAAAAAATATTTTATTCTTTTTTGTGTGTGTGTGATGGAGTCTCACTCCATCGCTCAGGCTGGAGTGCAGTCAACCAGCGTCAACCTACTGGGCTCAGCCTATCCTTTCACCTCAGCCTTCCAAGTAGCCGGAACTACATGCATGTGCTACCATACCCGCCTAGTTTTTCTTTTTTATTGTAGAGAGGAGGTCTCACCAAGTTGCCCAGGCTGTTCTCGAACCTGTGGGCTCAGGTTATCCTCTCACCTCGGCCTCCCAGATTGCTGGGATTACAGACTTGAGCCACTGCGCCTGACCTTATTCTCTTATTCTCACTGCAAAAGTAATGCACATTCACAGTAAATAAAGCAATACATAAAGAGAGGATAAAAATTAACAAGTCTTTTTTGTCCTACAGTCTCTTCTGAAGTAACCACTGCTATATTCTTTTATAATAGTGCAATGCTTAGTCATGCATATATATATACATGCATCATGTTTGTTTTGCATTTTCTTTTTAAACATAAATTTAGAATAATGTTTATATGATTCGGAGTTTTTATTTCATTTAAAAGTATTTCATAGATATCTTTCCAGGTTAAAATATATAGAGCTAACTCTCTTATTTGAAAAGCTGAATTGTATCAGCTATACTTGTATTATAGTTTATGTACCCTTCTCCTAACAATGGACCTTTAATTTGAGAACAGTAGAAATTATTTTTAAAAACTACTCGAAACACCTATTTATTGTGTGTTCCTTAGTAATATTTTTTCTAGAATTTGTAATAAAAGTTTTGTTTGATTTGTTTATGAGTTAGTTATCTTTTATACTGTGAATAAATAATGGACCCACCAAATCAAACTTTAGTTTATTTGTTAACTTATTAGTTAAATGAAGAAAAAGACATTTTTTTAAAGCGAACATTTAATCCATCTTCAAGCATACCTACTGCCCAAATATAGATTCTAACCAAGGTATCATGTTTAAGAGTAAGATGAAAGAAAAGATTAGAGGAAATCCTACTTTGAAGCACTTTTTAAGGCTTCTGACAAATCATTTTTACTTTTAACCTAAGATTAGAAGGATGTTGTATTTGTTCTCTTAATGAAAAAATATCAATTTTAAAAATTCTTAACTGGAAGAAAGTTTTCATTTATTCATTAAGGTCAGGTTTAGTTTAGTAATAATATCCTGTATTTATGTACAGCTTGATTGTTAGCAAAAATCATAAATCCACACTAATTTCTTTTTCATATTTGCCAAATTCATAAGAGTGATGCATTTTCATCAAAGCATTGTAAAAAATACATAAAGAAAAATTAATGTATAATATTTTCAACTGTTTTAGTGGACCAGAGGGGAAGGACCTGATTTTTTATATTTATTCAGTTGTATTTCCTTCAAGCCCTCAGTGCTGTAATTCTGTGTTACAGATATAGTTTAACGTAATTGTTATATTGTAAAAGTGGTCCAAGGAGTCTAAATACAAAGTTTATACCACCCATAATTGTAGTTTGATACTGTTTATAATATCTCAAACATAAAAACAGTGAGGTTACCCATTCCTCATTTTAAAATGAGAAATGACTAGATTGTACTTTATCTAAAACTTTCAAGTCTTTTTTTTATAAAGACACCTTTAGGGGTAAAAAGTTCCTACTCTAATTTGTTCTATGGCAGTCCATGTTTTTCTCTTCCTCTTTTTCTCTTTTCCTGTCATCTCTCCTCTACCTTGGGTTAATCAGCGAAATCAGTTTGTGTTTCCAGATTTGACGCTTTGTGATCAGTAGTGTGTGCAGTTTCCCTTAAATGAAGGTCTTATTCCTAGCTGGATCACAATGAAATTACCAGGATTAATTGAAAATGCCCATAAAATACTCTGTACTCCTTTGAGACAGAAGCTATGTAGATATGGGTCATGATTCTTATTCCTTTTTTCTCAAGATAAACCAAAAAAGATTGTTTCATGGTGATTTTGGGGTTAAATCAATTAAAAAGTAGAAACCATCATTGTTAAACAAAACAAGTTTTTGCTGATTTTTTATTTTTATTTTTGGTAAACTATTAAAAAAACAAGGTTTGGGGGGGGTAACAAATCACATTAATTTGAATAAAAGTTTCCATTTTGTAAAGAAGCTGTTCTAGGCTAGACTTAACTCTGAATCCCACCAGTTAATAAACCACAGATATACTGCTGGTACTTGGGGGGCTTGTTTGGCTGGGCATATCCATCCCTCATAGTTAATCTTTGGGGAACTGTCTTTCAGAAATTTAATAGTCCTTCAACAAAACAGCAGGTGAATGTGAAATTCTTTAGAAAGAATTTCTATTGGCTGAAGTATACAGGGGAAATAGTAATCTGATAAGCAAAGACAAGGGGTGTTCTCACCCCAGCACCTGGTCTTTCTGGATTTCAGTCTCATCTCTTTGAGAACCTCACCTGACTGGCCCCGCCATCCTTAATGTGGCTCCCAGAGCGTCCTGGGCTTGTCCTATCCCAAAACTTTCTGCACTGTGTTGTAACTGCCTGTTGACTTTCTCTGTCTTTCCACTAAGCTAAGGCCTATGAGCAACAACTGTGTCTTACTCATCTACCTAGCATGGTGTCTGGCACATAGTAAGTACTCAATAAATATATGTTTAAGTCACCAAAAAAAAAAAAAGTGGTGTTTCTTATATGATAGAAGGCCATGAAATAGCATTAGGGTACATTAGCTATGTAGATCAAGTCCCAATAAAATTACAGAGATCAATTAATTCAGTTAATATTTACCATTTAATACCCAAATAGTTTAAACGTTTACTATTAATTTTTGTTACTGAGTCGGGCTCTCACTCTTTTGTCCAGGCTGGAGTGCAGTAGCATGATAATGATTCACTGCATCCTCTATCTCCTGGGCTCAGGTGATCTTCTGCTTCAGTCTCCCAAATAGCTGGGACTATAGGTGTGATACCATGCTCGGCTAATTTTTTTGAGTTTTTGTAGAGACGAAGTCTTACTATGTTGTTCAGATCTTGAACTCCTGGGCTAAATTATTCTCCCACCTTAGCCTCCCCAAAATGCTGAAATTACAGTTGTAAGCCACCATGCCAGCCTGAAACTTTAATTTTTAAAACTAATACCAATTTTTGTATTTAGTAAATGAGATAATTCCTGGCATGTGGCAAGCACTCAATAACTATTAACAGCAACAACAACAACAACTACTACTACTACTACTACTACTACTAATGATCTGCTGGGCGAGGTGGCTCAGGCCTATAATCCCAGCACTTTGGGAGGCTGAGGTGGGAGGATTGCCTGTGTCCAGGGGTTTGAGACCAACCTGGGCAACTTGGCGAGACTTGTCTCTACAATAAATCAAAGAATTAGCCAGGTGTGGTGGTGTGTGCCTGTGGTTCCAGCTACTTGGAAGACTGAGGTGGAAGGATCTCCTGAGCCCAGCAGGTCGAGGCTGCAGTGGCCATGAGTGTGCCACTCCACTCCAACCTGGGCAACAGTGTGAGACTCTGACTCAAAAAAAAAAAAAGGATAATCATCATCATCATCATCACCCATGCTCTTTTTGTGGATGAGATATGTATGCTGAAATTTTAAAAGAAGTTAAAAGGAAGGAAGTTGTCTTCTTTCTAAGAAAGTCCTGCTAGAAATAACAGTACCTTGATGAAGTCAATGATTGTTCTTTAATTTTCACCTTAGAAATTGCCAGTTTCTCAGTTATTATCTTACTGTTTAGTTCTAGGTAACTGCCTAAAGTCAACCAAATTCACAAGATTTAAAGTTATTTATTTTAAAAAATCCCAACAAATAGAAAAATATAGCAGAGGTGGGCATACCTTAGATGTATAATTCTCCCCAAACCAAAATACCCAGGAAAATGAATCAGTAATCTATGTTATGTATTATAGGCTGGGCATGTTGTCTCAAACCTGTAATCCTAGCACTTTGGGAGGCTGAAGTGAGGGGATTGCCTCAGCCCACAGGTTCAAGAACAGCCTCGGCAACTTGGGGAGTCCTCATCTCTACAATTAAAAAAAAAAAAAATTAGCCAGGCATGGTAGCACGCGCCTGTAGTTCTGGATACTTGGAAAGCTGAGGAGGAAGGATCTCCTGAGCCCAGCAGGTTGCCACTGGGGTGGCCGTGAGCATGCCACTGCACTCCAGCCTGGGTGACAGAGTGAGACTCCAACTCAGAACAAACAAACAAAAATTTTATATTATAAAACTTTATTGTAATGAAGTTTTAGTCCTTTACTAGACTAAGTTTCTTTAGAATAAGGATAGCCTAGGTCAGCATGGCATATTTAGCATTGAATAGTTGCTGGTCCATAGTAAGCTCTTAATAATTGTTGAGTGAGCAGAGAGTAGCTTGGAATGTATAAGATCTGAGCAAAAGAAGCCAGATTTAATGAAGCCTCTCCTGGCTTGAAAAGAATGTAAAGTCCCAGTGACTGGGAACATCCATGTCCTTTGGTTAATCTCTCTCTCACTCAGTATGATCCAGGCAGACTTGTGCACTTGGCACTTCTTTCCCTAGATTCTAAGCATATTGCAGATGTGCTGTTCATTTAGCTTTACTTCAGAGAACCAGTTTACCATACAGAGATTAAGCTAGGACTTTCATCAGGTTCACTAGTCTAGTTCACTACTCTACTAATTTGTGGTGATTCCCAGGTAACTTCAGGAGCAACTGTGCAAACTAAAGTTTTAGAGTACTTTTACAGGTGGGGTCTTTTATTTTATCTTAGTGATATTAATTGATCCAGGTAGGTCCTAGGTACTGGAGATACGAGGACCAAGACAGTTTCTCCCTTAAAGGATTTTGTAACCTCATGGTATGGACAGTACATGCATGAGCAAACAAATGTGATGGTTTTTAAACTGATGTCTTTTTCTGATCTTGTTGCCAGCTTGCTTATTATTAAAGGCAACTGCCTGCATGATAGTTTGGGAAAATGACTCTGGATAGCAAATTACCTACAACTTTTTAAAAATCAAATTCAATAGAGAAACATACATTTAAAGTTTCCCAATAGGTTGGTCATTGCAGCATATTGCCAACGACACAGACCCTTTTACTAATATATTACATTTTTCCTAAACTGTTATAGCATCTAACTCTAGTTACTTAATCTCTGCAGACCTTTTACATTAGTGTGTATTATTTGTAATAGATTTTTTAAAAAAATATTTTAATTTATTATTATTATTTTTTTGAGTTAGAGTGGAGTGCAATGGCATGCTCATGGCCACCGCAGCCTCGACCTGTTGGGCTCAGGTGATTCCACTTCAACCTTCCAAGTAGCTAGAACTATAGGCACATACTACCATGCCCGTATTATTTTTTTTACTTATTGTGGAGATGAGGTATCACCAAGTTGCCCAGGCTAGTCTTGAACCCCTGAGTTTAGGCAATCTTCTTGCCTCAGCCTCCCAAAGTGCTGGGATTATAGGTTTGAGCCACTGCGCCTGGCCAAAACAATATTTTATTATTATTTATTTATTTTTGAGTTGCCCAGGCTGGAGTGCAGTGGCACACTCACTGCCACTCTAGCATCGACCTGCTGGGCTCCGACAATCCTTCTGCCTCAGCCTTCCAAATAGCTGAAACGACAGGCAAGCACTACCACACCAAGCTAATTTTTGATGAAAGTTGCCTGGGATAGTCTCGAACCCGTGGGCTCAGGCAATCCACTCACCTCGGCCTCCCAAAGTGCTGGGATTACAGGCTGAGTCACCAAGTCCAGCCAAAACAATATTTTAAATGAAAGAATAAATGGACTGTATATGCCAAATGTGATTTTGTTTTTAAACATGATATGAAGACCATAATATTGATTTACTTATCTAGACTGGAAAGTAAGATGAATTATTCGACACTTAAAAACAACAAATTATTCTCATTAAAACTAATTTCTGGCCGGTCACAGTGGCTCACACCTATAATCCCAGCATTTGGGAGGCAGAGGTGAGAGAATTGCCTGAGACCTGGGGTTTGAGACCAGCCTGGGCCACTTGGCAAGACCGCGTCTCTACAATAAATAAAAAAATTAGCCAGGCGTGGTGGCGCGCACCTATGGTTCTGCTACTTGAAAGGCTGAAGCGGAAGGATCGCCTGAGCCCAGCAGGTCGAGGCTGTGGTGGCCGTGAGTGTGCCACCACTCTCTTGGAACAGTCCTCTTCCAAAGAAACACGGGGTGAGGAAAAGTGAGTCCCTAACATTGTCTCTTATTTTTGGTATCGCTTTCTTTCTCCAGAGCCAACTAGCTTGCATCTTCTCCCAAAATCAATTCCTCATCGATTACTCAAGATTTCTAATCTGCTTTTTATCTGTGAAGGAGTAACTCTGTGGTTCAGCTCAGGTTTTATTATGCAACAGCAAGGAAAAAAAAGACAATAGAACTATTGATTTCTCTTCATTTGGAATGCCAGTTCATCTGTAACTTGTACAGATTATGTAATGTATATACAGACTATGGTATCACTTATGGAAAAGTGCCTTTAAATTAACTTACCTGTGAATCATCTTGAAACTGTTTGTTTAAAGACAAATCAAATACTGTATTCATTTACTCTTCAAATGTTTATTGTGCATCTCCTCTGCTAGGTAATGGTGACAGCAGGAACCCAAACGGACAGTCTCTGCCCTCATGACCATTGTCCAGTGGGAGAAGAAACAGTAAAATTATTCTGTTCTTAATAGTAACGGAAGAGCAAGCCCTGGAGTCTGATCTAAGTGACTCTCTCTTCTCTCTTATTTTTCAGAGCACTTTGGAAATAGCTATCTTTATTGTAAAGCAGTATAGATCCTAATGAATCTAAAGTCTACCTTAACCATTCAACCTTTCAAAAAATGTTTAGTGCATATATTCAGTTTTTCCTTGGCAGTTTTAAGAATTGTGGAAGTTAAGGATCATCCAGTTCAATCTTCTAATTAAAAATAGGCAAAAAGATAAACACAAATATAGAAAAAGAAACTAAAGCCCAGAGAGACTTAAATGAGTTTTTAAAGACTGCATAGTTTTGTGGCTAAGCAGGGACTGTTTCCAGATCTACTGATTCCAGCTACCACACCAACTCTTTATTTTTTTTCTTTTTAACTTTAAAAAATTTTTTGTAGGCAGTGTCTCACTATGTCCATACTGGTTTCAAACCCCTAGCTTCAAGTGATCCTCCCCTTCTTGGGCTCCCAAAGTGCTCGGGTTACAGGCATGAGCCACTGAGTCCAGCCTGCACTTACTCTTAAGCATTGATGTTCAACTTCACCCAAGTTAAAATGAGTAAGGAAGAAATGAGTTCAGCTGTACCGGTCAATACAGATGGCATCTGGGTCATTTCCTCTCCTAAGTATAACTCAAAGAGAGGTGTGCCTTAGGCAAATGTATTTTCTCACCCCCTCCCTTTTTTGCTGTGTATAAAAAATTGCATGTAAAAATTTTTAACATCTTTTGCTTCTTGTGTAAGGCAGGCCATTCTTGATAAATTTTGCAACTGTGTTTATATTTAAAACAAACTGTTGTTAAGGCTGTACCTCCCCAATTTAACACCTAATTCTACCAATGTTATGGAAATTTAGTGATGCTCTCAGTGTATTCAGCATCCAAAATGCTTCTTTATCTTCTCATATCCTTTAAACATGCCCAATAAAGATTAATTAGGAGGAGAAAGTTTAGGGGTATGCTTTCTATAGGAAGTTTTTCTATCTACTTAATATACGAAAATTTAATCTTTTTTTTTAAATTTGAGACAAGGTCTCACTCTGTCTCCCACGTTGGAGTGCAGTGGATAGATTCCATTCACTGCAGCCCTGACCTCCTGGCCTCAAGTGATCCTTCTGTCTCAGTCTCTAGAGTAGCTGTGACTACAGGTGCAACCAGCTAATATTTTCATTTTTTTGTCCAGACTTGTCTTGAACTCCTGGATTCAAGTGTTCGTCTTGCCTCAGCCTCCCAGAGTGCTAGGATTAAAGATGCAGGCCACTGTGCCTGGCCTATTGTAATAGTTTTAAAGATCATATTCACTGAGAGAAAAAACTAAAATTTGCTGTGCCAAAGTGACAATGATGAATTTTTTTAAAAAGTTAATTTGGTTCTGTATTTCACATTTCCCCAAGAATATAGAATTTAAGTATAATATATACTTTTCACAATTTTTCCAGTAATAATAACAATAAGAAGATAGTAATTATAAGTAAAATGTCCACCACGCTGCCTGTGTCAGGCAGTGGTAGGTGCTTTGTGTTCAATTTCAAGACAGCATTAGGAGAAGATCCCATTACTGTCTCCTGCATTTAGACGTGGAGGCTAAGGCTTAGAAGTTAGAGACTGTCCAAGGCCACGGGGTTAGTAAAAGAGAGCATGAGTGCGGGTCTTCTGATTGCTGAAGCCTTTGCCCTGACCATAATGCTGCAGCTCTACCAAGCTCAGACTGGACCTCTTTATATATCACTACCAATTTTAGAGAGACTGGCTTATTCTTAGTAAAACAGCAATTCCTTGCCTTTCAGAATTTTTTTTTTTTTTTTTAGGGAGACAGGTTGCCCAGACTGGTCTCAAACACTTGGGCTCAAGTGATCCTCCTGCCTCAGCCTCCCAAAGTGCTGGGATTACAGGCGTGAGCTACCGCACCAGGCCCTTATTTTTCCTACTTTCTAACCTGTATCTCTGTTGTGACTTCCCAGGTATTCCATAAAAACCTGTATAGTGGACTCTCTAACCTTTTTGAAATGTTTTGCTTTCACTGCACACATATCTAAAAGTAGTATCCTTTTCTGCTAACCCAATGACACATTTGTAAAAAGCTTCTTGGAGGATATGGATGTGTGGAGCAATTCAGGGAGATGTTGTGGGTTGGGCACCTTGTGTAAATATTTTTTTTCTTGCTAACGATTTAAAATATGTTGGTATTTAGTTCTGCGTGGGGGTCCTCTAACTGGAAGCTACAGGTTACGACAGTTTCATCTTCACTGGGGGTCCGCGGATGATCACGGCTCTGAGCACATGGTTGATGGAGTGAGATACGCCGCAGAGGTAAGCTATCAGGCATATCTTTGTGATCCATGGTTTTCCCATGTGGTGGGATTTAAAGGGTGCAAGGGACAACTCTCATAACCTTAAACAAATCCGGAGCCAATCAAGTATCAGTGTCTGAATATTGCTTTATTCATCCATTCGATAGTTTATCAATATGAGAGCTTCAAATGTTACCCTTCTAAGCCTTAAACCAACTCTGAGAGCTTAGGGTTATATGTCCCCATTTTTATAAATGAGTACATTAGATACTGGAGAGATTAAGTAATTTATCCAGCTAGGAAGCATCGAGACAGATTTAGACCCAGGTCTGTCTGATATCAAATTACAAATTCTTTCTAGGATATATATTATATCTCCTGAAAGGCCAGTGAGATGGGAGAGAAAGAGACATTTGTTTTAGGTCCAACTGTGTTCATATTTGATTCAGACACAAATCTCCACTATTATGGAAAGTCCACATTAAATTGGTGATAATAAATGGAAAGTTCTACTTAGGAAAAAAATATAGAGAGTAAGACAGGACCTAAACTCTGCATTATCACTACATGTACAGATATAAAATAGAATATCTGTTAATTATTCAGGTCATTGGTAAAGCATAACACAATAAGGCGTTCATTGACTTGTTTTTTACCCACATGGAAGTTACTCCTTTTTCCTTATAATTATTTTCATTAGTAATACTCTACTTTTTCTAATCCTCTGGTTAAAGAACAAAGCATAATATGCTTCAAGTTTTAATATGATTAAATATTGCTAACACCCAACTTTACCACGAGATGAAAGTGGATTATTCTATGACTCAACCAAAACTATTCAAGTGAAAAGTAAGTTGGCTTGTGAGTCGCCTAGGCAAGACAGCAATGTTCCCAGGCAAGTAGAGTTTTTCTTCGTGCATTTGTGGTTACTGAGCTGTGGAGTTTAGATGCCCCTTTATAACCCTGCTGTTATGGAAATCCAGCAAGCAAGACTGTTTTTGCCAATTTCATTCTTCCATTAACACATACACCTGCCCTTTGAGGCTGTCATCCAAAAATCTGTTTTGCCAACTAAATCACTTTTCTTTAAGGCCAAGTGCCTTAGGGTACGGAACCTGCTCTGTCCTTAGAGTAGAGGAAAACAGTGTATTTACCCAGTATTCTACTGTGGTGGACAAAATATGCCAAGAATGTTGAAAGTGGGACTCCTGAATCTGTATGGTGTCTCAGTCTAGATCATCTGCTAAATAGTTTTCATATTTGCTTTCTAAAGTTTTATGTTCTAAATGAAACATATTGTTCTCAATCTCAAAAGATAGGTTGTTGGCTGCTTTGGATCACTGGTCTCTCATTTTCCTTAGCAACTCAGGAAAATGGTCACATTGCTTTGGTGGTTATACCTTGTACTTTCGTAAACTTGAAAGCACTAAATGTTGTCAGAGAGGTTTACTGCCACTTTGGCAAGTAGTCTCCTGAAAAGGGCCCTCAAATCCTGTCATATGTCAGGAGCTCGGTGTCCTGACCTGCACATCAAGGGCCATCTTTGTAGATAAAGCCTTGTGATTAAGGCTTTGACTGAAATTTCATACTGTCCTTTAATATGCATTTAAGGCTGTTTCTTATTTCATTGGTTTATACATTTTATTTGTTCACTCACTCAGTAAGAACTCATTGAGAACCAACCACGTCCCCAGTCTTTGCACAGCTTACTCATATTTATCCTGGAAGGAGTGCTGGAAGGAATGGAGGGATGCCACATGTCTTAGTAACAGGCAGTGTCATCCAAACTTAGGGTCAGAGAAGGCTTCCCTATGGAAGAAGCCTTTAACTTGAAACCTGAAGGATGAAAGGGAGGGAACCAGGCCAAAGGGAGATTTAGCAGTGGTTTTGCATAAAATGGCGAGGACTTGGAAAGTTTCACATATTCGAACAACAGTATGGTTTGTGAGGTTTGAGCATGGAGAATAAAGGGAAGAGTTGTCAGAGACAGAGTTCGGGAGGCTGGGATGGGCCTAATCTTACTAAGGTAAGTCTTGGTAAGGATTATGGATGTGATTCTAAGCGCAATCGGTTTTGAATTTGGAAATAATCATATTTGCATTTCAAAAATATCATTCAAGCTACAGCTTGAGAATACATTGGGTTGAAGCAGGTGTGGCTAAGGGAGCTTTTGAGGAGGCTTTTGGGCAAAGTTCCAGGCAACAGATGATGGTGCAGGTGAAGGCCTGACTGGCAGTGGTGGCTTCAGTGGGATTTGTTGATTGATTGGGTTTGAGGATGAGTGGGGGCAGGAATCTCTGTTTCTGGCTCAAGATAGGAAGAGGTAAAAGAGAGAGGGTCAGGGTCAGGCCTCAGGTTTGGTGGAGTTGGAAAGGGAGACAATGAACAAATGAATAAATGATATGTGGAAAGTTCTTTGATGGACTAACACCATGAGATCTGGTCGAATGACTGAGTGCTTAGGAAAGGCCTGTGTGTGATGATACATGAATTGAGACTGAATGACAAGAAGAAAGTACTATGAGAAAATCTAGAGCGAGTTTTCCAGGAAGTGGGAGCAGCAAGGTCAAGTGCTGTAAGGCAGGAATAAGATTGACATGTTCAAGAAGATAAAGACATTGGTCTACGGAATTGGAATTAATAAGAAACGAAAAGTTGTGGGCTATTTCCCAGGCCAGGGCCACAACACATCAGGTGCTGTTGGGCATGTTGAACAGCCTGGAGCTTTTTTTAATGAAGTGAGAAGAAGACAATGGAAGATTTTGAGCGGGGGGGAATGGCATGTTCTGCTTTATATTTTCCAAATAATAATGTGTGGAGGGCAGGTTGTTGCTGGGCAAACATTGAAGCAGGGAGCCAAATGAAAAAGTTATGGAGGTTAAGTGAGCAATGACAGTAAATTAGACTGGGGGTTGTGATATGTTTGGGAGTAAAGTCTGTGGGGCTTGCTGATGGGAAGATTCGTGATTGAAGGAAAGAAAAGGAGGATTCTAGAGACACTCTTAAGGTTTTGGTGTGAGCAACCAGTAGGGTGGTGGGTGCCATTTCCTGAGATGTTGCAGGTTCTGAAAGGTTGCAGAGAGGAATACATTTGAGATACCTGTTAGACAGTCTAGACTGGTGTTCAAGTAGGCCATTGGAGAGAGGCCTGGAGTTTAAAGAAGAGGTCAGGGCTGGAGATGTAAGCACTTGGGAGTCACTTGCATTTGGTTTCAGGTTCAAAAGAACCTCTTTGTGCTCAGTTCTAGAAATGATTCTAAGGGGTTAATTAGTTTTTCCAGTCACTTTTGTGCTAAGTTCATGACTATCATCAGGTTGTGTTCCTTTATGAAATGAAAGGAAGAAAAAACCATTAAAAGCTGCAACTTATAAAAATTTAGTTTGGGGTCCAATATGATGATTTGTGACATTGTAGAGAGAGATTAAAGTGATCTAAATCATGAAAAATTTTATCCCAAAAGTTATGCGTCTACAAAAACTAGGCTAATCCTCTACTCTATGTTTGAAACTTTATCTGATAGCAGTTTATACAGAATATATAACAAGCATTGTAAATATGTAGTTAGTAGTGACACTATGATTTCAACATTCATGGCAGTTTTTTTGCATAGTATTTGGCAGCATATTTGACATATCACTAACATGTCGTTTATAACTACTAAAGTTAAATAATATTATTATTTGGAAATTATTTTCTGCTGGGTGCAGTGGCTCACTCCTGTAATCCCAGCACTTTGGGAGGCAGAGTTGAGAGAATTTCCTGAGCTCAGGGATTTGAGACCAGCCTGAACAACATGGCGAGACTTCGTCTCTACAATAAATAAAAAAATTAGCCAGACGTGGTGGTATGTGCCTGTGATTCCAGGTATTTGGAAGGCTGAGGCAGAAGGATCACCTGAGCTCAGCAGGTCGACGCTGTGGTGGTCATGAGCGTGCCACTGTACTCCAGCCTGGGTGACAGAGTGAGATGCTGACTCACAAACAAAAAACAAAAAAAAGCCACATTTTGTCCAGTAGGGAAGATTCTTTTTTCTATTTTTGCATTGACTACAACAACTTCTTGTCATTTGGTTCAAATCACTGCTGTTGTCATTGTTAGGAGATTTGAATTTGCTACTTTGTTTATAGAAGTTTTAATTCAAATATAAGTGCTAAGAAAAATGATATCAGTTCCTCTGGAAGATATTGCTGCTGGTTAAGCAAGGTGTGTGGGGGGGAGAAAGGCTTATTTAAAAGGAAAAAAAAGAAGAAAGTTTCAGTGTGGTGGCTCATGCCTGTAATCTCAAAACTTTGGGAGGCAAAGGCAAAAGGATTGCCTGATTCCAGGGGTTCAAGACCAGCCTAGGTAACTTGGCAAGACCTAGTCTTTACAATAAATCAAAAAAATTATCCACGTGTGGTGGCACATGCCTGTAGTTCCAGCTGCTTGAAAGGCTGAGCTGGAAGGATTGCCTCAGTCCAGCAGATCCAGGCTGGGTTAGCAGTGTTTGTGCCATTGCACTCCAGCCTAGACAACAGAGTGAGACTGACTCAAAAAAAAAAAAAAAAAAGATTTTCTTGATCTAGTTTCTCATCATTTTTTAACTAGCAGAAGGATGGTTATATAGAAGATATATATTCATCTATATTCATTTCTCTTTAGTTACACATTCATTTTCTAATTTGTTGTGATTGAGATCCTAAAGAAGTCATTTCACAACTTTCTCTCTTTGGTGTCATCTCTTACTAAGCGAACTGATGCATTGGCACAGAGCCACTTAAAACAACTTAAACACCCTTATCAGCCCTTCCCTGACAGTGGAGCGTCATCTATCTCATGTAAGCCAAATAAATTATGTTTCCTCACCCAGTGCTTTCAGGTTTCTATCCTCCCCCAACTCTCTCACACCAACTTGGAACATGACACCAAAGGAATTACTTTTATATTTTCTTTTCTTTTTTAAGACAGGGTTTCAGTCTGTCACCCAGGCTAGAGTTCAGTGGCATGATCATGGCTCACTGCAACCTCAAATTCCTGGGCTCAACAGACCCTCTGGCCTCAGCCTCTCAAGTAGCTAGGACTGACTATAGGTACATACCACCATGTGTGGCTAATATTTCTATTTAAAAAAATTTTTTTTGTAGAGATGGGGGTCTCACTTTGTTGCCCAGGCTGATCTCAAACTTCCAGCCTCAAGTGATCCTCACATCTTAGCCTCCCAAAGTCCTGGGATTACAAGTGCAAGCCACCATGACTAGTACTTTTATGTTTTCTGCTGGAGTATCCCATAGTCTTCCTTGATTGTGGATGGTGCACTGTTTTAAAGTTTTACAGTTGACTGTTTATGATCATTCTTATCTAGACAGAAATTCCCTCATATTAATTGCCTGTAAGATATAGAATTATATTTAAAAGATGGCATAAAATAATAATGTATTTGAATATACTAAAGTCTCTCATAACAATCCACTAGGAGGGCAATTTGGGCTTGAAGACCCCTCTAAATGTTTCCTCCCTGATGTGCCAAAAGGATTCATTACAAGATCTTATCTAAAATCAGTTTCTCATATCAAGTCTTTGGACAGCATGTCCTTGGCCTGAACTGTTTAGATCATAGCTAAATCTTTTGGGTCTGTCTCATTGCCCTTTGGCTTCTATCTCAGTTTATCCTTCTCTTAACCAGGACTGAAGACTCTTCAAAAGTGGTTTTCTGCTTTATTGTTATTCTGCAATCTTTCGCACTTAATGTGTTTTAGGTACTCCATTCGCCTGTAATGGTAGAACATTTAGGACACCTCTGGGTTTCGCATAAAGCTACTTGCTCGTGAATATAGTTGTGAAGTAAATGAAGTCTGTTTTCCAGATCCCAGGTCCCTTCCTTCCTTCCTTCCCTTCCCCCCCCCAGTAACACCAGCTGCCTCTCATTTTCTTACTCAGATACCTCTGGCTTCAGACCCTGAAGCCTCTTTTCCACCTGAAAGCTTGCTCTCAGCAAAGTATCTAAATATATTCACAGAACATAGTAAATGTATAAAAAATGATAAGCATTTGGACTGGGGGTTGGTGGTGATATGTTAATTAGCTTGATTAATCATGACACATTGTGTGTGTGTGTGTATAAATATTACATTGTACCCCCAAAATGTATACAATTGTGATTTTTTCAATTAAAAATAATCTTAATGAAAAGTATAAATAGTACTTAAAGTAAATCTTCAGAAGGTGAATTTTCATTTTCCCACCATAAAATATCTTCAACTACAGTGGTAAACACCTAACTGGGCAGTTTCAGGAGCTACTGTGCTATCCTTGGCAGCAGGATTATCCTTGAAATACTACTATGTAGGAGGTTGACTAGGCCCCTTCAGTGGACTCTGCTGCCAGCTGGGATCAGATCTGAGGCTGCTCTGTTGCAAATGCATCTGTGGAAGACACGGAGGAGCCCCGAGTTACCCAGAAGAGGTGGTTGGAGTTTGTCAGGGCTAGAGGGTCTGGGAAGATTGCTTGAGGCTTTCTAAGTAGTCTTCAATATAGTGCCCAGAGACTAGTTAAGTGACCATGATCCTTCACTGTTTGAACTTTAGTTTTTAGGCGAAAGTAATTAGGAAGATTCTGTCCAAGGTTCTTGAGAGGAATACATTATGCATGTGAATGTACTACACCAGCATATCTACATCTTATTTACCTTTGTGTTTTTCAAGATGTTTAACGAAACATTTGAATTATGCTGTGTATTTCCCTTTCAGCTCCATGTTGTTCACTGGAATTCAGACAAATACCCCAGCTTTGTGGAGGCAGCTCATGAACCAGATGGACTAGCTGTCTTGGGAGTATTTTTACAGGTGAGAATCCACTGATTTCGTTGTAAATGATCACCTTTGTTGGATAAAGAGTTTCAGTCATGAAGTACACATTCAAAAAGTTTTATTTTTTTAATTTTTAATTTAAAAAAATTTTTTAATTTTTTTTTGAGTTGGAGTCTCACTCTGTCGCCCAGACTGCAGTGCAGTGGCATGCTCCCGGCCACCGCAGCCTCCACCTGCTGGGCTCCCGCGATCCTTCTGCCTCAGCCTTCCGAGTAGCCGGAACTACAGGCGCACACTACCACACCCGGCTAATTTTTTATTTATTGTAGAGATGAGTTCTTGCCAAGTTGCCCAGGTGGATCTCGAATCGGTGGACTCAGGCAATCCACTCACTTCGGCCTCCCAAAGTGCTGAGATTACAGGCTGAGCCACCGAGCCTATTCTCACATTCAACAAGCTTTAATCATAAACTTGTTCTAACAAGCTTTAATCATAAACTTGTTCTAGTTGTAGTATTTTCCTTTTGAAATAATTATTTAAAAAATGGCAGGGCATGGTGGCTCACTCCTGTAGTCCTGGCATTTTGCGAGCCTGAGGTGAGAGGATTGCTTGAGGCTAGGAGTTCAAGACCAGCCTAGGAAACATAGTGAGACCCCCCCATTTCTACAAAAAGTAAAAAACAAATAAATAACAAGTTATACATTAGGAGCATTGTCTTATGAGTCTTCTTATTGTCCACTGATCACTTTTATGTGGATAACAGTAGCAGCATCAACAATAAGAAGAATAGCAGCAAAAATAACAACTGAGATCCTGAGAAGAAAAAGCTTATTCTGGGTTCTTCCTGATTATACACTATTTAGAAATACAGGGAAGATTAAAGTTTAAGCTCCTGATTCTTGAAGCAGTTGTCTGACCACAATGGCATGTTGTCCTAATGGACTGAAAAAAATTAATAAAATGTTTGTTGTATTTTTCTTTGTCTTATATTCACATGTGGTCAGACAAGTAGTCATCATACCTGGGGATGATTGGGCCTCTTAACTCCCACTGCCTCCGCATTCTTTTGTCTCACCACATACTCTGTATGTGATGTAATTTGTGGAACTGGAGCTGGGGAGCATGTGGCAAGGCAGAGAGTGCCATAGATGGCGGTAGTTCCTTGCCTTTGGCCACCAAGTGGTGGCAGCGAAACCAGGTGGGGCAAGAGACTACACTTAAATTCTATACGGTTTAAAACATTCAAGTACAGAACACTCCTAATAATGAAAAAAGAATCTATCTATGTACCTATCAATCGATAATATGAGGATTTTGCTTATGATGGCATCCTGTTGATTTGGGGCCTTGAGTAATTTTTAGGCTGCAAGTGGGAGATGTTTCCATCTAACATTTTGATGTCACCATAGTCAGTTTGGATCTGGAATCTGAATGTCATATCTGACTTAATAGTATTTGTTAGAGTTTCCTAAGCAAGTTTTCTCTCAAGTTAGCCTATAGCTTCAACATTCTTGAAGCTGAAAAAATATGAAGCTGTTACTACTAGTTTTGGAACCAAAGTGAAAATTCAGTACAGGAATCCAGTAATTTTATCTTGTTGTTTGGATTCTTCTAGCATGATAAAGCCAGCAGGTAAAAGAGAAGCTTTGTTATAGAACAATCACTGTATATTCTGTGCTGGCTAAGTTTAAAAAAAAAAATAGTGGATGAAATGGAGCGATTCAGACTTGATCTGCTCCAGTAACCATTTTTTTTAAATTTCATGTTTTTAGATTGGTGAACATAATTCCCAACTGCAAAAGATTACTGACATTTTGGATTCCATTAAAGAAAAGGTAAAAGGAATTATTGTTTGCTAATGATTAACATATTCCTTGTTCTCTCCTGAATTCTCTATCTCTTTTAAAGACTTAGACCTTAGACACAGAATATGCTGCCTGCTTTAAAGCAAGTTTGCAACATACTTGACCAAAAAAGCGGAAGTAACCTATTACCAATTATCTTTTGAAACTTATGAAAAGGTCTTAAATTACCTAAAATAATTACGTATAAATCTATATATGCATAATTAACTACTGGCATTGTTAAGCTTTTAATTTTAACATATCTTAAAAACCACATATTAAAAACAAATCTCACACTTCTTAAATCTTTATTTGATGTGCTACTTATCTAAAATTTTTAAGATGTAGATGCTTTTCTTTTGGATACTAAAGGAAGATACTCAATAATTCCATATTGTTTTATTGGATGTATTTTTTTGAGGTTTGTACAAACAATTCCACTGTAATTTGTAGGAATTCTATTTGTTCCACCAGGGTAAACAAACTCGATTCACAAATTTTGACCCATTATCTCTGCTTCCACCATCCTGGGACTACTGGACATATCCTGGTTCTCTTACAGTTCCACCTCTTCTTGAAAGTGTCACATGGATTGTTTTAAAACAACCTATAAACATCAGTTCTCAACAGGTATATAAACTCTTTCATGTTGATCTTGAATCAGAACAAACTGGGCTGAATCTTGTTTGTTAAATCCTGCCCTTAATTTCTGCTATATGAGTGTTATGAAGCCTGTATTTTCCCTTCATTAATGAGATGGGTGGTTGAACTAGTTGAGATGTACGTTTCTTTCTTATTTGACCTTCTATGATTAGATGATTTCTTTTCCACTTCTTAGAAAGGTAATGTACATGGCAACACTGATAAAGATGAAGCAACATTTTGAGCTCTATAATAGTTTGCTATTGGGTTTTTTTTTCTTTTTTTCTTTTTTTTTTTGGTTTGTTTGATCTGGGATATAAACAAGCCAGAATTCAAACAAGAAAATCAGGAGAAAGGCTACTCATAGAAGGCGACATGCTTCTTTCTGACCTCTGTCGCTATGTCTGCTTCTCCCACAAATTTCAAAGTGAACCTTGAGGACAGAGATAGCTATAGTATCCTAAGAAATGTATTCCTGCTAAGTGTAAGGAGGAGTTGCTTTGTACCTTTAAAATGTTGTGAAGAGGGCAGATATCATGTTAAGTCTTCTTATTACAATTAAAAAAGGAGAGAAAGAGGGAGAGGGTGAAGGAGGAGGGACAGGGGACGTTGTTGATCTTTGGCATTTATTAACAAAACTTTTGTAATGTTGACAGAAGGGCTTTTAAGCATTTACAGTGGCCACCTATGCTCTTCTTGTGAAGATATTTACTTACTCATTTTTCTGTTAAATGTTTATTGAGCTCCCATGGTAGGCTAAACAGTCTGTGAGATGCAGGATATTCAGTTTTAACTCTGCTTGGGGCTCTGAACCATGCAGCTGAGCAATCAGATAGGTGGCTGCTGTGTGTTCTGGGCTGTAGTGCTTCTTCATGGGTTTTGTTTTTGGTTTTGTTTTTTTATGTCATTTTTAAATTAGGTACTGCAGGATCTTAGCATGAAGTAGTCTAGTAATTTTTGCAGCTAATAAAAGTACTCCTGTTCTGCGTTTGCCCAGCCTCCATTTTATTCCTCACTTCCCCAGTCAGGCTAGAGCTGGTTCACCTTTACCAAGATCATGTGAGGCAGTCTTTCCCCTTGGGGTTTTGAACTCTTCTGTCTATCTGTTGGGCGTTTGTCCTTGCTGACCTTGTCTTTAGGATTAAGACAAACAATAACCTGGTGTATACTTAGTAAAACATTTTATAAAAGTATAAATAGAAATCCAGAACTTGAATTACATGAAAATTCTTGTGAATTTTTTCCATTATTGTATAATGAGAAAAATGACCTAGCACTGATTAAGTGGCCTTATTAAGGGATTTCATTTTTTCCCCTACCCGTGCTAAACTTTAGTTTATTTCTATACTTCTCTGTTAAATTTGTACTGATTAATATGAATAATTAATACGTTATAACATGAAGGTAGTTAATAAGGGGATTATGTTTTCTTTTGTATTTCAAGGATATCTTTATTCCTTAAAGCCACTTAGAAAATTGCTTTTGTGTTTTTTTCCCATTCCACAAGTGATTTGGAAGATAATATATCAAAATGTATACTTTAGTTCCTTAAAAAAGTATCAAGTTAACCTTATTGAAAATAACTCCCTGCAAATTTAGGAATTATAATGACCTAGCTGTGGATTTGCTGCTGTATCTCAATAAATTAATATTATTAATGTGGCTTTTCACTACTGTATCTCAATAATTTAATATTATTAATGTGGTTTTTATGCAGTAGAGTGTATAATAGCTGCATTTTAGAGCTCTAGTGTAATTACTAATTCACTTTGAAGCATCCCCTTAGATCTTTGATAGCAGGAAAACTATCATTGAGACATTTTTATTTTATTTTATTTTATTTTTTGAGTTGGAGTCTCACTCTGTCGCCCAGGCTGGAGTGCGGTGGCACGCTCACGGCCACCGCAACCTCAACCTGCTGGGCTCAGGCTATCCTTCTGTCTCAACCTTCCAAGTAGCTGGAACTACAGGTGCGCTACCATTCCCGTCTTTTTTTTATTTATTGTAAAGACGAGGTCTCACCAAGTTGCCCAGGCTGGTCCAGAACCCCTGAGCTCAGGCAATCCTCTTGCCTTGGTCTCCCAAAGTGCTAAAATTACAGGCTTAAGCCACCGGGCCTTGCCAGGTTTTCTTTTGTTTTTAAAGTCACTTAGCAACATTGTTTTTATTCATTTTCCAGTTCCATCATATAATGTCACTACCTATGAAGAATAAATCTTCCGTTTTAGTGAGTTGATGCTGGGGGTTTTTCTATTGCAATTTCTTGCCAAGTTACTGCTTGACCTAAGGGGCAAATCAGATGTTTTTCATTTTCTTTTTCTTGACTCAAATCCATTTTTCTCCCTCAGAGTCACTCACTAAGGACTAAATTCTTGATTTAGCTGCCATGCCAGTGAGCAGATAGATGTACAGTTTTCTGTTACTTTTGAGAACAGATGTGTCATTTTCCTTGGAAAGCTGGTTTTTTTTCTTTTTCTTTTTTTTTGAGTTGGAGTCTCACTCTGTCGCCCAGACTGGAGTGCAGTGGCCGCCCCCGGCCACCACAGCCTCGACCTGCTGGGCTCCGGCGATCCTTCCACCTCAGCATTCCAAGGAGATGGAACTATAGGCGTGCACTACCACACCCGGCTAATTTTTTGATTTATTGTAGAGATGAAGTCCCACCAAGTTGCCCAGGCGGGTCTCGAACCCGTGGGCTCAGCCATCCTCTCACCCCAGCCTCCCAAGGTGCGGGATTACTGGCTGAGCCACCAAGCCTGGCTGGAAAGTCTATGGGTTATCCTAAATTGGCTTGCTCATCTGTTGAAAGTCAATGTGCAGATGCCTGGCCTTGATTCTACTTTCCTTTTAAAAATAAATCCTCTTTTTTGTTTATTATGATATTATTTGCATGTAATAAAACTCATGAATTTTAAGTATGTGGTTGCTAATTTTATTAATAGTGATCAGATATAGCCATGCAACAACCATGAAAATCAAGGTATAGAAGATGGCCAAGGTTGCTTGAACTCAGAAGTTTGAGATCAGCCTGGGCAACAATGGTGAAACTTCACCTCTACCAAAAAAAAAAAAAATTAGTTGGGTGTGGTGGGGTGCGCCTATAGTCCCAAGTTTCTCAGGATGCTGAGGCGGAAGGATCACCTGGGTGACAGAATGAGACCTTGATTTAAAAATACACACACACACACACACACACACACACACACACACACAAGTATTTTTCTACATATAGAAGTAGAAAACCAAAAAAGTTTCTTTGTGCTCTTTTGCACATTTTCATCCCCCTTCCCACCATAGCCCCAGGCAACCAGTGACATGCTGTCACTAGAATTTTGCCTTTCCTAGAATTTTATTTAAATAAACCACATAGAACATAGATTTTTATATTTGACTACTTTTACTTAGCATAATGTTTTTAAGTTTTACCCATTTCCTTTTTTTTTACTAATATAATATTTCATGGTATGACTATGTCACATGAAAAATATATTTAGCAATTGATGGGCATTTGAGTTGCCTTTAATTTTTAGCTATTCTGAATAATAGCAATTTATATTTGAATATTAGAATACATATTTGAATATTCACATGCACAATTTTGTGTGGACATATTTTCATTTGTAATTTTACTTTGCATTTATCTGATGACTGATGATTTTGAACCTTTTTTCTTATGCTCATTGGCTATGCATGCCTTCTTTTGTTAAGTATCTGTTCTAATAGCTTGTCCTTTTTCTTTTTCTTTTTCTGTTTTTGAGTTGGGAATCTCTGTTGTCCAGGCTGGAGTGCAGTGGCACAATCATGGCTCACTGCAGCCTCGGCATTCTGGGCTCAGGTGATCCATCCTTGTCAGCCTCCCTAGTAGCTGGGACTACAGCCACACACCACCACACCTGGCTAAGTTTTTTATTTTTTATTTTTTGTAGAGGAGAAGTCTTGCTGTATTGCCTAGGATGGTCTCAAACTCCTGGGCTCAAACAAAGTGCTAGGATTACAGGCATGACTGCGCCCAGTCCGTTTGCCCATTTAAATATTGCATTGCTTGTCTTCTCACTATTAAATTGCAAGAATTCTTTATATATTTTGGCTAAAAGCTCTTTCTTGGGTATATGTTTTGGAAAAACTTTCTCTCATGTATGTTTTGCTGTTGTCTAACCATGTCTTTTGAAGGAAAAAAGTTCTTAATCTTGGTGAGATCTGTTTTTATCAATTTATCTTTTAAAGTGTGTGCTTATGGTATGCTGTTTAAGAAATCTTTGCCTAACAATAAGCCGCATTCCACTCCTCTCCTCCCACCTTAAGTTACAGTTTTAGCTCTGCGTTTGTCTTTGATTACTTTGCATTAATTTTTATGTATAGTGTACCTCCTTTCCTTGTTATATTTCAGTTACACACACATTCGAGCTTTTAATATAATTCAACAGACCCCAGATGCTCAATTTTTTTAAAACTATTTTTTATCTGTTCTGTTCATGTGCATTCAAGTTCATTTGCCCTACCTTCTGTCTGTCAGTTTGGTTGGTAAGTTCATTCAGTGAATTTCTCATTTTAGAAACTATTTTTTTTAGTTCTAAAATTTCTATTTGATTCTCTTCTATTATTTTTGTTTCTCTGCTGTGACTTCTCATTACTCTGCTGAGATTTCTCATGCATTTAAAAGATGCTGTGTTTAACTTTATGTAATCCTCAGGTAGTTATAATTATCACTTTTAAATCCTTGTAAATTCCAACATTTGGTTCATCTTGGGTCAGACTGTTGATTTTCCTTTCATTGAGAATGTGCACCATTTCTTTGAGTCTTTATATGTTGAATAATTTTTAAATTATAATTCTAGATAATATGAATATTAAGTTGTACATTTATTATTATTTTTTAAACTTTTGTTTTATTAAAAGATGTGTGGTACAATTCAGGGTTAGTTATACAAACGTTAATTATGCAGGTACCCTTGTTGATGAGGTATGCCCCTCCCTCTCCTAGCAGTTTC